TATATTAACTATTTCTATAATAATGACTTACTGAGCTTCAACTCTTTGCAATGAACTCAGCTAGGTGCTCTGAGAAATATAGTATTAATAAGAACTCTCTTCCCACTTGAAGAATAATACATTCCAGAGGGGAAGAAAAGCAGGTACACAAAAAATTTCAGAGTATTAATTAAATTTTTATCAGATTTTGCTTCTTCCTGCTCTGAGTAATTCATTTAGTATGTTGCAAATGCCATCAGCTCAAAATGGGAAGAAGGATTCAGAAGGAGAAGTGCTCCCTTCTGGCAGGAGTCATCAGGAAAATTGGGATTTCAACAAGACCTTAAAAAGAAGGTAAAACTACAATAGGGATAGAGAAGGTCAAAGGGGTATTCTAGGTGTAGAGAACAGCAAAAGGAGAGAAAAGCCTCCCAAAAGTGCATACATTTGGCTGGAAATCAGCATTTGAAAGGACTGGTAGGCATTAAATGAGACTGGAAGGTTGGAAGCCCATTGGGAGGAATTTAAATGTCATGCCGCGTGATTTGGACCTTCTGTAATAGTCAGTGTGGCATCATGGAAGGTTTTCAGAGGAGGATGACAGAGAAGGCAGTGACTGATGAATACTCACTGGGCAATGCTTAGCAGATGAGATAGGGAGGGCTTTAGGAGACACTTTCATAACCCTTAGGAGAGATCAGCAGAACCTAAGTTATGGTGTAACTATAAGTGGCAGGTATGAAGGACATTTCAGCGAATTCTCTCTGAAGTTCAAACCAAGGAAACATCCTAATAGAGGATCCTCCAAGCAAAATTCCCTAACAGCCAGAAATAGGAACTTAATAATGGATTGTCTTAAACGATTGTTAGAATCATTGTCTATCAGAGCTAGAAGGGAACTTATAAATCATCTAGCCTCACCTCATTTTAAAGGTAAGTAAGCGGGCCCAAAGAGTGAAGAAATTTGTCAAAAGTTACAAAGACAGTGAATGCCTGGGGAAGATAGTATAACTCAGGTTTCCTTAATCCGAGACTGCCTGGGACCTTCCCTAAGAAAAGCATATGGTTTTAATTGTTACTTTACCAAAGCACTCTTTGATTCATTCTTTATTATTTTCTTATATATCTGAAGGCCCCACTTCAGTCACCTTGGCTGGTGGCTCTTCTTCATCGTACTTTAAAAACATGTCCTTTCTATGTGTGCTCACCCGCTCCCTTGGTTACAACTAATACCTTTATGTAAAAGCACCCAGATCTAAGCCTCTAGTCATGACCTCTCTCTTCACACCAAACCTCCATTAGACATCTCCACTTGAGTTCCAAAATAAAATGTATATTTTCCTCTGCTAAATCTTTTAAGTTCCCTAGCTGGACTAATGGATTACCCAGTCAATTTTGCCAGACATCTTATAGTCACCTTTAATTCTGTCCTCTCTTATTCACTACTCTAAATGCCTCTTGCAGATGCTACTTCCTTTCCATTTTGCTGGGACAGCCATAGCCCAGGACCTCATTAATATCCTCCCGGATTACTGTGCTTGTATTCTAATTGGGGTACCTGCCTGTCACCTCTTCCTTAACCAGTCCGTTTTCACAATGCCTTTCAAATAGCTTCTTTAAATACACACTTTTGAATCTATCATAGTTCAAGCTCTCTTGACTTTTTACTTGAACTAAACAACCTCCTAAACGAGGTGCTGGTACACTTTTTCTGTGAAGGCCAAACAGTAGATATTTTAGGCTTTGCAGACCATATTCAAGTCTGCTGTGATAGTGCCATACATAATACCCAAAGGATCACTGTGTTTGTGTCCAATAAAACTTTATTTACGGATGTATAACCTCGATGTATCACAAAATATTTTTCTTTTCTTTTCAATCATTTAAAAATACAAAAACCATTCTTAGCGCATGAATTGTGTAAAAATAGATGATGGTCCAGATTTGGCCGATGGGTGATAGTTGCTTACTCTATCCTAACTAGCCTCCCTGTCTCCTATACCAACTCTTGAAGTTCACTGTCCACACTGCTATCTGAGTCAGGATCCCAACCCAGAAAGTGTTTCATACTGCCAGCCCTGCCTAAAATGCATCAAAAGTAAGCCATGACTCTCAGAATGGCCAAAACTCCATAGTGTGGCCCACAAAGCCCTTGCTCTGGTCCCTGATCCCCTTTCCAGTCTTATCTCCTACCAAACACCTAACTTAATGGCAGAATTTATGTTCTCTCCCATCTTTATGTCTTTGCATATATTGGTTCCTCTACTCCACCTTTCTTCCACTCTGAAAACTCCTATTCATGAACTCATTAATCAAAATTGCTGCCAAACATTGCCCCCTCCCTGACCTTTCACTGGCAGTGTTCCCTGACAATCACCTTCACCTTCAATTCTCCTTCCTATGTGCTCCTATAGTAATCTTTACTTCTAACATCGCACTATCATCACACGCGGTTATAACCGCATATGTAGATGTGGCTCCATCTGTAGAGCACAAGCAATCGAAGATTAGAAAACAAGTCTTATTTTTCTCTCCATGCCTAGGGCCAAGCAAAGTACTTAAAAGAAAGTAGGTGCTCAGTAAATTTCTATTTTCCATTTTTAAATCCAATAAGGAGAAACACCAAAAAAGTGCTAGATTATTTTTCTTTCAGATTGATTTATAGACTTCTACTTCGATTTTTAAGTTTTCTTTGCCCTTAAAGATTTGGATCCTTATTTCATCATTACTTTATAATGTGGTTTTCATATTCAATTTTAAACTTTGTTTCAAATATGCCATTGGAAATGTTTAAGTTAAGAATGAATGATGAGGTGCTATCTGCATGAGAGTTATGTATTTCAGCTGGTCTATACTGAAAAAGACACAACCTTTCTCAGTCACACACCCGAGTCCACTGAATCAATAAATAATGGGGAGGGGTAACAAGCCTAAAAAACAAAACAAACCCCCCCCAAAAAAAAGTATATCAGAAATATTTAGCCCAATAACCAAGTCACATTTTTGGTGCAAAAGAGAGATATACACAGTTCCTTGGATTTTTAATTGTCATCTTTAAATTTATGAATGTGTATTTTACAAAACGTGACCGTAGACTAAGATTAAGATGCTTACAAAAGAGTGCTGCATTTAGAAAATAGGTAATTAAGTATTATTTCCTGTAAAACTACGTTTAAATTTTTGTAGAATTGGTGTAAATAAGGCTCAACAGAAAAAGCTTTCTACAGAATCAAGCAAAACCGTTCTTAAGAACAAAGGAATTAGTTACCACTCATCTATTTTCAGCAGTTCCTGCATCTTAACGCGCTCTGCTTGCAAGAAACCGATCCTGTCAAACAGTACAAACTGATACTGCACAGGAAAACTCTCTACGGACTTTGACTTCAGAAATTAACTCTCTGCATAAGACAGAATGGCAAAAGGGGCATAACCGGCATTAATATTTATTTACTGAAGCTCAGCCACACTGAGACACTGAAAAGCTGTCCCATTTCTGTGGTTTAGTAGTGCTTAGCACACGAATTGGTTAGTTCTGAATACAAGTCTGACAGAAAAGAAAAACTACTAACATTATCATGATGAAGCTAAATTCTGAAACTTCTAAGATTTAAGAACCACAGGAAATATGTTAACATTATGTTCTCGGTTTTACAATAGTACTTTAAAAGGGCATTAAAAGAACAGTTATTACTCTGCAGTATTAAGCAATTTTTCTCATAAAAGTGTATCATCCATTGGGCTTTTTTCCAGATATCATACATGTATAAATGATTTATTTTCTTTCTCTCTCTCTCTCTCTCTCTCTGTTTCTCTCATTATTTAAAAGGCAAGGTGTCAAGCCATTTGGAATATTATAACAAAATGTTTTTAACAAAGTTTGATTTAACAGAACTAGAGGAATCTTAACACGAACCCAAAACTTTGGGAGGTTCACCAACCTCTAGAATATTTTTTTCTTGAAATGCAGGCTGTTCAAGTGGCGCTTTTCTCCATCTGTTATCATACCGTGCTCAGAATTACATTGTCATATTTAATGTAAAAAGGATCAGTCCCCTTTCGTAGTTTAAATTCAACATATTACTATGATTGGAAGACCAGTGTTTTTCTAATTTACAAATCAAACCAAATATCTAAACTTACATGTGTATTTAGACAAAGTGAAAAACTGAAAAACTCTAAGAATTGAAAAACTCTAAGAATTGAACAAACCCAAAAGCTTGATCTGAAAATTGAAAAATTGTACTAAAACTCAAAGTGAGAAGAAACCACTTATATGGTAAAGTGAAATATTTACTATCTCTATTTGGATTTTTCTGTGTGTGTATTTTTGTATGTGTGAGTGTGTTTTTCCAATACAGCAAATTCACAATGTTTGCAACTTAAAGTCTTACTGTAATTTAAGGCTGAGCTATATGTTTACTAAAGCTTATGACAATGATAATCACATTGCAGTATCTCATGATGGAAATGATGTAATTTGAAACCTCGATGGTGTAAGCATGTTACAATAATGATTTGAACATGGCCAGTGCCAATCAATTTCATCTCTAAATTTTACACCTCGTTAGGACTCAGATTCTTTATTTTGTATCAGGTCCATTTCAATTTGCATCTTAGAATTTCTTTTACTTTGTCTCATTCACCACTGACAGTATCTAATTATTTTCTTAAATATATTCCTCAGGTCCTTCAATTCAATATTTTTTTTAGACATAGAATTAACAGGAGATGTAGTGGTGATAGTGGGAGAAATATGTCATTTTGCTTATCCTGATAGAGAATCACCTAAATATTTGAGCATTGTAGATGAAAGGTTTTGTAATATATCAGTAGTTCCCTGCCACACTTATCATTCACATGTCTGGGTGTTTTGCTTACCACATCTCCACTTTTCTTAATATGCCTGAAAGCTGTGTGTGAATTGAATGACTAAGCCTAACTCTAACAACTGTTGGGAAGCCTGTGGCAAAAATCAGTGGAAGGAAATCGGCGCTGTGGCGCATAATGGGATTAGGGAGTACCTGGTGAGGTGCAGTCGGTGCTCAGCCTCGCCCAGCAGTTCTGTTAGTCTCAGACACTCCTCTCTGGTCCCGGCTGCCTTCTGCTGCTCCTGTTCCAAGTGCTGCTTGCTTTCACTCAGCTCTATTCTCAATTTCTCTACTTCCTTAGGTAAAGAAAAGGGAGGAAAACAACCATATAAAATATATGCAATACACTTGAATTCATTTTTAGTTTTGCCATACATTTTAATGTGTTGAAAAATTATTAGAAAATTTAGGCTAGCTTCCATTTTAGGACAAAGAGAATTAGCACATCCAAAAATGCACGTTAGTAAAAGTTTTTTTTTTTTTGTTAATTGTAAAATGAAGTCTGATTTTTAAAATGAAATGATTAAATGAGAATAGTCAAAATGGATAATCTGCATTTTCATTCTAAGGCTCATTCCCTTTTAAAAAGTAATATAACTTAAAAAAAAGTAATATTAACTTAAAATACCACTACTTTTAAAATGTAACATTTTCAAGTGATTTGATAAGACACATGCAGTGATTAACATCAAATATGTGGTTTTTTATTCTGAAAGACAGATTTATGGTTTCATTTGGATGTTTTCAAAAATGAATTAAAGGTTAAAATAATTTAAGATATCTTTTAGAAAAATGTGAGGTGTAAAAGAAGGCATCTTTGTGGTGCTCAATACGATTTGGAAAAAATTAATTTAGGAAAAAATACAGCATGGAACATTTATGCATTAAGAGTAAATGAAATTTCTGAGTGAAAACAATATTACATTAACATTTGCATCTTAAAAGACAACAAAAGCACTCTAAGAGTAATAAGTATGATAGTTTATTCTTTGGTCTCAGGATAAAATTATCCTTATCTTACTGAAACAAATATGTCAAAGCAAAAATACCTTATATAAAACATAGTTTTAAATAATTTACAATTAAAGTAGAAATATTTATGATAGAACATCTATAAAATGAAGCAAAAGGAAATAAAACAGATGAACATTTAAAATATTTTACACTATTAAAACAAGAAAAACAAACAAAAAAAGGACAGAAACATCTTCAAATTCAGCAGAAATCAAAAAGCAACTTTGATACATAAAAATGCAATCTCTTTTTGGAAAGCAAAATCATGTCGAAGTAGAGCATTTTAAACTTAGTACTTAAATAAATTTTCAAATCTCCTCATGCCATTACTCAATATTCTGAACAATCTGCAACTATATTTAATACATCATGCAAGATAAGCTAAACTATTTTTTCTACATCCATAACACTATAAATACTCAGTTTATCCCCATCAAAGCCATACATTACCAAGAACACAATATAATAACTTATTACAAGTTCTCAAATATAGTTTTATTTTTAAAAACCTATGTAATCATGAATATATAACTTTCATTCAGAGTTGATTTTCTATATTTTCAGTTTGGAATTCTAAGTGAAAGTAATTTATTTCTTTAAAATGTTTTGTTATTAAAGTTATACCAATATATTTCCAATGTCATAATTAAATAAAATTAAACAGAAGAAAAACAATAGAAAAGTCTATTACGTTGTACTTATCCAACATTCATGAAATTAACAGAAGCAAAGAAGTTTAGAACTAGAATTATATGTTGACTTTAAATCTTCAAAAATCCACTCAAATTTTTTTTTAATCAGTGCTTTATGCAAGAAACTGTACTAAATATTATGGTGGGCTCAGAGAGTTCCCATCTCTACATTCAGGAGTTAACAATTCATCTGGGTAAATGAGACACAGACACACAAAAAGATACCAAAATGCAAAGGATATTAAAAAAAAAAACAAAAAAAACCCCACCAAATGAGTTGTGGAGAAAACCCATGCCTCAATAACCAGAAGAGGGATACACACATGGGCAAGAAAAGTGAGAAAGAAGGTAAGGGCACAAAAATTCATGGAACGATAGATTAGACCACATTATGAAAGATCTTGAATTGTAGATTAACAAAGCTGCATTTTTATTATAGAAAATGGGGAGAAAACAGATGTGCAACATGAAAGAAGCTGAGCTTAAAAAAGCCGGATCAATGTGTATGATCAATTGAAGGTGGCGAAAAATGGCAGAAAGGAGAGACCCTGAAAAGACAGTTGCAGTATTCCAGACATGAGGAGTAGAGAAGCTTAAAACAGAGGTATAAAGAGAACATGGCAATGTTATGGAAATAAAAGGAGAGGTGTTGGGAGACCAAAGATGACTCCAGAATTTGATACAACCAAGAATGACAGAAGTAGAATACATATAATAATTCCAAACTTTCCTAGGAAAAAAAAAAAGATACTACACTCTTGTATAAGCACAATGGAACAATAACAACATATGTACCTCACACTGGTAATTAGGTTTTAAGCATAAATTAGCTGCTTTCTTATTCTCATGTATTAAAAACTCAGAGGCTGCACTGAAAGCTAGTCGAACATAGAGGCAGAGAACATGGGTTCAAGAGTCAACACAGATCAGGGTTCCGGACACTGCCCTGGCACTTTTCAGCTCCGTGAGCTCTGACAAGTCATTCAACATTATATGGTTTCTTCAGTCTAAAATAGGAGTGATAACTGGAGTGAGCTCCTAAGATTGTTGTGTAAATTAAATGAGGTAATGAGTACTTAGCAGAATGTCTAGCACATAGTAAGAGCTGAATAAAAGACAGCTAGTATCATTATTATCACTGATTTTTCCCTCTATTTATCTTTCAAGAACAGCAAAGTGGTAAGTAGAAAAAAATGACCTGCCTAAGGATATATGACTATCCCCAAAGAGTTCTTGATTTAATCCAATAAAATTTCCCCCTACCCTATAAAGCAGTATTTGGTGAAAACTGAATAAAACTTTTTCTATTATAATTTCAAAATGCAAACAGCTTTTTGTTAGGAAGATAAGAAATTACTGCCTGCTTCTGATTATCCGTGCCAGCAAAACAGCTTACTGGTGCAGATAATCAAAATCAACAATCTAACCAGCTGGACCCAGGCTCAACACTTACTCCCTGAGTCAGGAAAATCTGCCACGGCACCAAGTCCAACAGTTAGGAGAGAAATCTCTTGCCAGAAATGCCATGCTCCCACTGGCAGCCTAACCCTTTGCTTTACCCAACTAGGTCAGGGCTGCTTCCCTGGCTGTATATAGTAGCTCAGGGATGAAAGACCAGCAAGTCATAGGCCAATTGTCCATTACTCTCAAAGTACATTATTAACCTGCATCGCTATAATGCATTTTAAGGCAGCCATCCTTTACCTAACTAAGCAACGGCAGGTCCAGATAGCTTCACACCTTACCAAACCTGCATCGCTATAATGCATTTCAAGGCAGCCATCCTTTACCTAACTAAGCAACGGCAGGTCCAGATAGCTTCACACCTTACCAAAAGACACACTTCAAGTCATGAATAGAACCACTAGAACAACTAATAGTAGAAACTGTTAAAAGTGGTTACCTCAAGAGAACAGTACCTGGAATGGCACATGGAGAAAGGGAGACTAATTACTATCCATTTATATCCCTCTACACTGTCAGAAGAATTTTTCTTAATCATGAACATATGTAACTTCATTTTTATTACTGATTAAATTTGCTTCTTAAAGTAATGCACCGAATTTAAGTCAAATAGTACTCAATTTCTCATAACAAAGAGCAGTCGCCACCTCCAAACCTAATCCCTAATGGCACACAGTGCCACCTCTTCTGATATTTACCTTCATATTTTCAAATGACATACTTACATTGCTATTTCTTGATTTTGCAATATTAGACATTATCTATGGACGCCTTCCTATTTTAAAAAAGGTAACGATTTAAGTTTCTTCTACCACCCACCCTTCATACCCACCTCATGCTCCCATATAACAATTTTGGTTAAATCACTACTCAACAGTTCATTTACATTATAATTATGGAAATATTGTTCACTACTGAGACAAACATTACCTTCCTTAATTTTCTGTTTTCTCCCTTTTTTTATTGTGGTAAAATAACATAAGAATTGCCATTTTAAGCATTACTGAACGTACACTTGCATGGAACTAATTGCATTCACAATGCTGTGTAACTACTACCTCTGTTTTCAAAACTATTTCATCATCCTAAATGTAAACTCTGTGCCCATTAAGCAACAACTTCCCATTATTCCTTCCTCCCAGTTTCTGGTACCCTCTAGTCTACTGACTCTGAATTTTTTTTTTAAATTATTTTTTCTTAATTAACCCATGATAATTGCATATGTTTATGGAGTACAATGTGATATGTGGGTAAATTTATAAGTGTGCAATGATAATGTCAAGGTATCTGACACATACATCCCCTCAAACATTTGTCACCTCTTTGAGTTGGGAACATTAAGCTAATTTTCTTATACATTATTTTATTATTTCTGGAATTAATTGCCTAGTTTTTTGATAGCTTATTTTTCTAGGTAAATGACATTTTTTCCCCGAGTGTTCAAACAGATCTGTCAAATACCCATCAATAATATTTTTTCAAATAATGAGACACATCAGATACATTATATGTCCCTTTACCCTTTTTGTTCCCTGGACATATCCTTGGTACCTGATGTCTGGCCTGGTTGATCTCTGTCTTGGGCCAAGCCTTTCCCATCTCCTTTAGTGTTCCCTGTTTTTTGGGAACTATTTCTCTGTTTATTCCCTTTTTTTGGTGGAAGTACATTCATAAGAAAGGTTACATGAAAAACACATTTTTAAAGTATTTGTATGCTTGAAAATGCTGTTACTGTATGCACACACTTGATAGGCTGGCTGGTATAATGTTCCATTTTGAAATTAATCGTCACTCAGGATTTTTAAGGGACTACTCCACTTTCTTCAAAAATTTAACATTACGGCCGGCCCAGTGGTGCACTGCTACAGGGCGCCGCTTGAGAGCGCGGCGGCGCTCCCGCCGAGGGTTCGGATCCCACATACAGACCGGTTCCCGCTCACTGGCTGAGCGAGGTGCGGGCGCAACACCGAGGGTTGCGATCCCGTTGCCGGTCCCGGTCTGGTACGGGTGTGACCCTGAGGGTTGCGATCCATTGCCGGTCACGAAAAAAGACAAAAAAAAAAAAAAAATTTTAGTATTACAATTGAAAAGCCCTACGCCATTCAGATTCCTAATAATGCGACCCT